CGCGTCGCGGAAGGTGCGGTTTATTTGATGTTGAGTATATTTTCGAGTACTCACACTTCAAATTCAAGTGTTCTTAATATACTTAAATACTTTATGTTGGCTTACATAATATTATAATTCATTTGGTTTACTCTCAAATTCTAGTTTGAAATGTTCAGAGTTTCTATCACCAATTACATTGGTATTTCAGCCGAAAGACGTCCACTGCTGGATAAAGGTCTTCTCAAGGTTTTCTACAAAGACTGGTTCTACGCTGCCCGCATCCAGGCACCTCCCACGACTTTCACCAGATTGTCGGTCCACCTAGTGGGAGGCCTGCCCACAATACATCTTCCAGCTCATGGTCGCCACTCGAGAACTTTTCTGCCCCAGCGGCCATCTTCAGCTCTACGATCCAAAATGTCACTGAAAGCTACTGCTACTTTATTGATTTATCATTAATTTCAGTATCAACAGAAGAACAAAGAAAATAGTGATCACCATTGCTTTTGAGAGCATCAACATCTATGCTGAGAACAGTGAATGCGCCATCAACAGGCGGGGCCAAGAACCCTTGAAAGTTAAAGACTATACCAATGTAACTTATTACGGTGAGTATTTTAATATTGTCCTTAGATGGTAACAATTCATGTATCGTGATAGTTACGACAGAAAATGATTTTATAAAAAAAAATGGAATATTTTATTCAATGACACAAAACAGCATCAAAAATATGACACAAAAGTAAAACTAAATAGAGTAGGTAATGTGCGTGTCACCGAAACGGTATCCACTCAGCATCATGTCGAGGTGTCGTAAGGGACACCATAGTATTATAGTATACACTAATCAACTTTTTGGTTCATAAGCTCAGTTTGATTTTGATTCTTGGTTTATTACTAATATCATCTACTGTATGCTCGTGACATGGGTCCACACCACATCATCAGTCCAATTCCCATAAGATAGTACCTAAACTTATGTTACAGTCAAAACTCATTATAAGAGCTATTGCTCGTAGTTAAAATCGGGTAAAACCACTTTTGACTGATTTTTGTAGTATAAAGTTGTTTCGACTAATTACTAGTTTTATAACATAACAAAAAACAAGACAGGACATAAAACTACATTTTTCTTGCAAGACGCCCCACATTCAACTTACGTTAAAATGCCACATTTTTTCATTCTTAGCTAATATTTCTGCTTCTTCAACAGCCGTGTCGATTACTGCCATCATCCCTAACGCCCGGAACCGCATCAATATGAAGGCTGCTTCAGTATCAGCATATATCTCCAATCCCAATCCTATCTTCGATTTGGGACCTAACTTCTCGAGCAGTTCAGGTAAATTTACATTTTTTATTTCAATATTCGTTAGCGTTAAAGATTCTTCAGAATAATCTTATGAGGAGACTTGACAAAGTAATGTTCAAGTTTTAACCTGAGCAGTGGGCTGAGTGTGAGTTTACACCGAACGTTCTCACGTAAAAAAATGACATATATCTAATGTAAGACGGATTGTACAGCGCCCCTAGTGGAAACGTTCAAGAACTGAAATTGTCATTTTTTTTTAACGCGCTCATTAGTGAGGACTTCCGATGTAAACTCAAACTCACACTCGGCCCACAGATGCAGTAAATGGCGACTAATGAACAATAAAATTAAATGTGATAGCTAGCATGGGAAGAAAAGGAGAAAAAATCCATTTGCCTCTAGCAAATTAAAGAGCTCTTGCATTGGAGACTAAATTACTTGATGATGATGATGATGATTAGTCTAAGTTTAGATAAATTCAGCTTATCTTTTTTCTGGTACATTTATTAACAAATAAGCTTTTCTTGAAATGAATCGCATTCGAATTAAATACAGAAAAATTATAAAGGAACTTCTAGTGAACCCTTTAGTGAATTTGGTTCTTGGTACAAAAAATACATGCAGTTGTTTTATTTTCTAATTGGTTATCTTTGTTCAGTAAAAATATTTAAATGCTTTTTATTTCATTCCAGATGAACTCGTTGCCCAGGTGTACCAAGGCCTGAAGGATGATCCAGCAACGGCAGCTCAAGAAATTTACCTGACCGACGCTTCTAGCTACTTCTTTGGCTATTTCAATAACTATATTTGTGATTCTGGTGTTCCTTACTCTGGGTAACATGAAATTAATTGACAAATTAATAAAGCTTATGCACAACTGTTAACTATTGTTTTATATGGGACTTGGTCTTGTTAATCACCTCATCTTCGGTTGATCATAAAGCAAAATTCAATTTAAGTATGACGAAAAGAATTTTCTCAGAAGATTCACTTGTGCCTCTAAATCATTAAGGGTTAAGAGAGTTTGGGAATACAGACGCTAGTAATAGATGCTTAGCCATGACTTTGCATAATGAAGGATGTAGGAGAGTGATGAGATAAACTCGGATTTCCTTAGAATCTACCTGTATCCGAACAGAACATACATCACTAATACAACCAGTGTTGATTGAACTTGATGTGAGGTCATCCGTACGTAGTTTAAAAGGTTTTTGTAGTACCCTGGTTTTGTTCAAATTCAAATTCAAATTCAAATAATTTATTTGTGAAACACAGGTAAGGAGTATGATGTACAAACAAAATATGTGTTCAAGCCGTGATCAGCCTTGTCGGCATACAAATGTTAAAGCGTGATTTTAATTAATTAAATTTGTCTCCTAGTTTCCTATCTATACTTATTATTACTCGGGAAAATGCCATGATTTCATTATTGTTTGAACCAACCATCATAATTGATACAAAGTACCTAAAGTTTTTAGTTCAAAGCAGATTAATATTAATGGTATAGTCGACAGCAGACCAGACTATACAGAATGTCCCAAAAAATACTGTTAAGCCGAAGCCCAGAGACAGAACTAGTCTGGTGATGCTCTACCTGTACCGACAGGACTGTAACTTAAAAACCATAAAGAATCACCGCGATTTTTTGTGGTTTTTGAGTTACGACTTTTGTAGGTATTTTTTTGTTGCAAAATAGACTGTAATACAACGAGATATATCGCCACTATGTTTAGCTTAATGTGCTGTCTGTCGTCCGTACAGTCAGCGTCAAATAGTAAGTAGCCAAAAAGTTCGCAAAACGTCTTTGTTACTATTGGAATAAAGTTGTGTTGCCGATGGGGCAGCAAGGTTCTGGAATGGAGGCCGCGTACAGGAAAACGCAGCGTGTGGGACGTCCACCCACAAGGTGGACCCACGACCTGATAAAGGTAGCAGGAAGGCGCTGGATGCAGGCCACTATCAACCGTGCTGCGATGTTTAAGTCATTGGAGGAGGATGTTCAGCAGTGGACGTCCTGTGGCTGAAATGATGATGATGATGTGTTATCAACTTTTTGATCACTTTGGGTGTCACGAACTATTTGACGCTGACTGTACCTACCCAAATAAGTATTTCAAAGTCATCGAGAGATACGCATATCGAATAACATGTCTCAGTCTCGAGCAAAGGCAATAAAAACTAATCTGTTTTGGAGGAAAAACATCTACCTACTTACTTTATTTTTTCGTATTTGTTTATCAAAGTTAATGTTAAAAAGTTAGATTACATTTTCGGATTCTTTTTAATTGACTATGACATCTGTGTATGGTGTGCTGTATCTATCTTTATTATGATGATCCCGTCGACTTGTTCTTGAGACTTCTCAGGGTGCGTGATTTTGGCACAATTTAATATCATGGTACTTAACTTCTTCACTTTTGTGTACATCATGGTTACCTCGGCTCTCCTCTTACGATTTTGAAGTCATTGTTTTGAAAAAATCACGATTCCCGTTTGACTCTTGAGGAATTTTGATGCATCAGTCTATTAAATCGATTTCTATTAAATTTGATAAACCTTTAATCCTGTATTGAAAAACTACATTGAAGTATTTATTTTATTTTATTTATTTATTTATTCATGAATAGAACGGTAGTGCCAATTACACTATTCAAACAAGACGTAACAAAGTTCAGAATAACATTTAAGTACTTATAAACAATGTAACTTAACTTAGGAAAATTACATAAATCAGATGCGATTATTTTCACAGTAACCCAAACATTCTGCTAATAATGTACTCCACCCCTCTGCAAATAAGTATGTATTCAAACTACACTCAACATCAAATAAACCGCACCTTCCGCGACGCGAACTTTAAAGATTTTCTTCTGACACAATCATGGTGCCCCAACAATATTGGTGTTATTTGAAAGCCCAATAAATGTCCTTAAAGAAAAACACATTTAACTTCTTAATAAATTATTAACATATTATACCATAAATGTGACTTGAAAAAAGACCTCACTTTGGGCTCACCTCTGGGATCAATTAGACCAAATTTTATGGTTATAAAACCAAATAACGATCACACGTGTCCTCTTTAACAGATGGATAGCGATTAATCCCAACTTAACAGTTTTATAGCCATAAAAATTAGCTCAAGCGTAACTACCTATTTTTTGAAAAAGTGACTCTGGATCCTTATAAAAACACATTTTTGGGATAAAAACCTTTCCTTTAATGAAATGAAGTTTAGAACTAGGCTTTCAAATGCTACCAATGTTGTTGGGAAGTGGGGATGCATACGTTTGAGAAGTGCTTGTTGCGGGAGGTGTGATTTATTTGATGCCGAGTGTACATTATGTACAAGTAATCAGTTACATCTCCTGTCCTATCTCTCTATTAAAATTCCTTCTACATGAGTAGACACTTATAGAAATCAAGTGAATAATATTTTTGCTATAAATTAACGTGTGTAGTGTCATCTACAACTTAGTTTGCTCTTAGCAATATCACTAAGTTGTTTTTATGTTTATTGATTGTATTAATCAGGTACTTTTAGTAACCTTAAATACGTATGTATGAGCTCACAAAAGTATTCTTATCAATGAATTTCAATTACTAAAGAATGCAAATTTGAAAGTGATTGTAGAGTATCTTGTTATTTTAATTGATCAAATACATTTAATTTGAAACTTGGTATAAAACCACGCCGAAGGAATCAAATATATCAATTAGTATTTGAAATAGCAAGAGAAATAAAGATGAGTAATAAAATATTTTCATCATTATTAGTCCTTGGACTATTATACTACAGTGTATATGGACAAGTTTCATCTACATCTGGTAAGTAATTACTATTTAAAATGTGGGGTGTAATTATAATTTAATATAACTTTAACTATTGGGAACTTACTACTTTAAATGACTAACAATCAATTGATATGTCGACAGCACAATAGATTATTTTAATTATTACAACTACATACTAACACTCAACAGTTGAGCCTCATGTGCTGTCATTTGTAAGACTTCACACAAAATTTAGGGTATTTTTACTCATTTTTAAACTAGATAATTTCATTTTAGACAGCAGTGAAGACAGTAGTGACAGCGGCGACAGTAGTGACAGTGGCGACAGTAGTAGCAACAGTGATAGCAACAGCAGTGACAGTGACGAAAATTTCAACATAGACTTCGATATTCCTGATTACTATCCTTGTGGCAATCATTCTGATGTAGACTGCGTTCGAAGATACTTCACCTTTAGCTCTCCATGCAGGCCAGTCTTCTACCGAGACGTTCCAGTGGTCGTCAGAAGGAGACAGCCGGTCTACTTGCCTAAAATTAACCTTACAGTTGTCACCTACTTTGGCCAAATCCATTACGAGGGTGTCAGTGTTGAAACATTCTAGTAAGTAACTAAACTATATTAATACTTTACAACATTTTTTGTGAGTGGCAAACTCTCTTTGAGATTTATTATTTCTGCTATATTTCTGTTTTTTTATTGATTCCGTAGATATAAATAAATATTTTTGTTAAGGCATTTTTTCATAAATCTCTACGGAATCCATGAAGCCTGTTATAAGCCTAGGTGCAGACCACCGACTTTTAGTTGGCTTATATTATGTAGTTGGGTCGGGCTGTTAATCAGTATGGACACGAATGAAAGTGCGCAAATTCCACGCTCTTTAGCTAATTTACAGATATGAATATTATTTATTATATTTTCAGTGAAAGCCCAAAATCAAGGGTTCTCGTGCTGACCCTCTCATTTACAAAAATTAACATTACTACTGCCATCGGAGAGTTTATCATCAGCAGAAGAGGCGCAGTACCCATTACGATAGTCGACTCCGTCTCTGCTAGTTATTGTAAGTAATCACTATTTATCTTGCTGATTATAGTATTTTTCAATAGCTTGCGTCATTAGTTTTTAACTTAAGCCTAATGCTAATCGTTGACGAAATGACGTCCACTGCTGGTCAAGGGCCTCCTCCAAGGGTTTCCACAACAACCACCGCATCCATCTAATACTAATCCTACTATAATATTATAAATGCGAAAGTTTGGATGTCTGGATGTTTGTTACTCTTTCACGCAAAAACTGCTAAACGGATTTTGATGAAACTTTACAGTATTATTGTATATAACCCAAATTAAAATATAGGCTATAATTTATGACGATCTGTGACAAACTAAATTTCACGCGGGTGAAGCCGCGGGCAAAAGCTATGCTTAATAAAATTTGCCTTCTTAAGAAAGAAAGTTGCTTGATCATTGTAGTGACTGATCTTCTACAATGCTAATCTTAAAAGAATTTATGATTACCTACTTACAAAGTTTCGGGGCCATCGATCCGATGGAAGCATGTAAGTTAAGACTTTATGGTTTTGACACCAGATTTAGTAGCTAGTATACGTTCCTAACTAGATACTAGGTGGACGGACAATCTGGTGAAGGTCGCGGGAGGTGCCTAGATGCTGGCGGCGCAGGACGGTCTTTGAGGAAAACCTTAAGGGAGACCTTGTCAACTTCTTCTTATTCGTTACGCTCTTGGCAGAGCGGTCGTGGTCACGTTGAGGCGTTGTTCACATCGGTTGTAGAGGCGGATACAACTCTCCGCACGATCTCCCTCCATCTCTCTCTATTGGCAAACTGTCTGGAGCAGTCACATAAGCCGTCTCCCACTGCTGCTTTCACTTGGTCGGTCCAGCGCATTGGTGACCTGCCACGCGATCGGGTTCCTTCGACTTTTCCCTGGACGACCAGTCGTTCTATGGAGTTGTCATTCCTTGTCAAGCAGTGGACGAATTGGTTAAATTAGATGAATTTTTGGTCCTACCTACTTGATTATGATGACCTAATACTGTGTTCCAATAAGCTTATTAAAACTTTTTTGCAGCTGACGTTTCCCTGACTGCTGTGATCCCCAAGAACCCCCGCATCAACTTGAGGGCTGCTTCAGTGTTTGCCTACATATCAGATCCTGAACCGGTCTTCGAGCTAGGACCCTTATTCTCTAACAGTTCAGGTATAGAACCGATTGATCAGCCCGACAGGGTTCATGGTGATCTAATTATATTCTGTAAAACCTTATCTACACTGTAAAATGCAATAAAGTATTGAGAAAACTCGAAGTTTTACAGTTTTATGTCTGTCGACTGTACGACAATCCACACGTAACACTGGCCGAATCCAAAACCTAAAGTCATGGCCATTAAAAAAGATGAAGATTTTTGACCGTTCTTTTTTTATTTCAGATGAACTCGTCGCGCAAACGTACCAAGCCCTGATCGAAGATAAGGCGACTGCAGTTCAAGAAATCTACCTTACCGACGCCTACAGTTATTTCTTTGGCTACTTCAATAATATTATTTGCAATTCCGGCGTTCCGTACTCAGAGTAACAAAATATGATAAGGCGTTGACGCTATTGAAGTAATTATTAAGTTTTTCATTTTTTTTTCTACTAAGATTGAAATTAATTTAGATAAAAGTACCTACTGCTGTGAATATACTTAATTAGTAACAAACATTAATGTTTATTAGAATAAAAAAATAAAGATGTGATTTTACTCTTTTATTTTTGGAATAAAGTTAAGTCACCTAAAATGGCGAAAATCAAGTAAAAATTAAAAAGTAATACATAAATCTCCGAAAAATTTTATTTACACTTGACAAGCTAAATACCTAATAATTAAGGACATAATAACTTAGGGGACACAGAACTACAATACAGGGTAGAATTTTGTAATGCCACCTGGAGGGAAAGTACTCCCAATACTAGATAGAAAAGTTACTACAAAAAAAACATTCGTTTATTTATGAAAAGAAATAGAACTACATTCAAAGATTTCCAAAAAATTGCTTGCCACACCTGGAAATCGAACCAATTAAACTCTGTTCAAAATTACATCGATTATTGACATCCTGTATTTTTATTGCATCGATTGTTAGGGTTATAAGTAGGTATAAGAATAAATCCTCTCTTACAAACTTGATGAATCAATGAAAGGTAAACCATGAAATTCTTAAATTATTTTAATTTCTTAAATTCTATGGTATAGTGGTGAATTTTCGAAAAACTTTCGGAAATCTTTGAATGCAGTTATCTTTCTTTAAAAAAATAAAGGAATGTTTATTGAGTATTTTATATCTACAGTATAATAAGAGTACTTTCCCTCCAGGTGGCATTGCAAGATTCCACCCTGTATACCTATTACTATAATACCTTAGACCTCAACGTGCCTCAACCTTCGAAGGCTTCGCTTCGCGATATGTCTATTTCACTCGCTCGCAATCAACTAAAAGAGTGTTGTTAAACAATACAACTTATTTTATAGTCTCTGGCGAATACCAAAATTGCACTGATAATGCCTACTTAGTACCTACTGGTTTGTAAGGTTTTGAAATTTGGCCGGGATTCTGGATTCTTACCCAGAAAGTGCCGACAACTTTAAATCCAAATAAAATCCGAATAACAATAAAAATATTAAACGCGGACTGATTTGTGGTATGCTAATTTCATTCACATATGAATTTATTCAAAAAAACATTTTTTTTTGTAATCTAGACTTCTAGCCAGAACTTCAGTTAATTTTTTTTACACTTCGTCAGATACATGCTGTATATGTCTGTATAGCCAAAAGCCTAACTTGTAACTTTGCTAAGTATCCAACACATTTTTTTTTTGCATATCGGACTAGTAGTTCCTCAGATTAGTGCGTTCAAGCAAACAAACTCTTCATTTTATTAGCATAGATATACATACTTTATTTGAACGTAGGTACTTACTGTAACGCTTTATTCAGTAGTAATTACCTACCTATTTTAATAATCTATATTATATAAAGCTCGATTCCTACTCACTGACTGACTGACTGACTGATCAGGGGTATTTTTAGGGTATTTAGAGGGGAGAGGGGTAAAATTGTTGTTGTTTGTTTTAAACTAGATTTTTCGACACCCAGGTTTTTTAGATTTTTTGAACCAAAAAACAAAATGGCGGCACTTTTTGAAACACCAACTTTTTTGTTTTCGGTCCTGAATTTTTTCTTTTTTAGGAGTTTGTTGGGGTTGCCAAGGTGTGTTAAAAAAATTGAGAAAAAAATAGAAAAACAAAATGGCCGCGCCGCCATCTTGGATTGAAAATGCGATTTCGGGGTGTTTTTAGGGAGGTGTCACTCCGAGATGCGCAATTGTTTTTTTAAATTTCTTTTGAATATTTGTGACATGTATAGTCTTCTTAAGAGTCACATTCACAGATTATCAAAAAACAAGATGGCGGCTGAGCCGTCGGCCATTTTGTTGCGATCAAAAAATTCCCAAACTTTGACACGAATTTTCCGGTAGATGGCGACACCGGAGTGAGGTACAATGTTCCGGGCGATTGTTGGTCTGTTCCTCGAGTGTGGCCATGAGTCGGAAAAAACTACCATTTTGGTAGAAAATTTTCCACCACGGCCCCGGATAGTAGAAAATGGAAATTTCCAAAAATTCCATAAACTTGGAATGCAGTCTGGTGACGTTTGGGGACCCGAATGACATTTCACCATTTTTATCAAAAAAGTCTGGCAACACTGAAAGTTATGGGGAAAAGTTTTTTTTGCGACATGGGTGACTTTAAAGTTAAGGACAGACAGAAGGAGTCATGGCAGAAAAAAAATAAAAATGAAGTTTGGTTGGATATACGACTCAGATTATGGGAAAAATCCGAAATGTCAAAAAATCAAGATGGCGGCGGCGTGGGCGGCCATTTTGTAAAAAGTTGAAAATTTCGAAATTTTGGAATTCATTTTTCGAGAGCATGGCAACATTTTGGAAAGTCGAGTTGTATGAGGCGGTTGTGTGTCTTATTGAGAGGTTTCGCTTGGGTGAAGAAATTTCTCCAGTGTTGCCACACTTTGGGAGATTTGGTCCAAAAATGTCGAAAGTAGAAATAACGACTTCCGGTCAAAAATTTGGATGACGCCTCCTGCAAAGGGGTCGTGCAAATGACATTTGACCATTTTCGTCTCGATCACCTGGCAACACTGGGAGCTACGGGGAAAAGTATTTTTTTCGACATGGGTGTCTTTAAACATAAGGACGGATAGAAAGATATATGGGAGAAAAAATCCAAAAATAAGGTTTCGTTGGTTATACGACCCAGATTATGGGAAAAATCCGAAATGTCAGAAAATCAAGATGGCGGCTGAGCAGGCGGCCATTTTGTAAAAAGTTTCAGATTTCTGATTTTTCAAATGCATTTTTCGGGCAGTTGGCAACATTTGGGAAAGTCGAGTTGTATAGGGCGATTACGTAGTTTGTCAAGGAGTATCGTTTGGGAAAACTAAAATTTCCAGTGTTGCCATACTTTGGAAGATTTGGTCAAAAAATGTAAAAAATGGAAATAACGACTTCCGGTCAGAAATTTGGATGACGCCTCCTGCAAATAGGTCAAACTAATGACATTTGACCATTTTCAACTCGATCATCTGGCAACACTGGCAGTTAGGGGAACTCAAAGTTTTGGGGCATGGGTGGTTTCAAGGAATTGTTTCACGGGACTGGGTGAAGATAGAAAAAAAGTAAAAATGGGGTTCGGCGCGGAATATGGTCCAGATTAAGGCAAAAATGCAAAATATTGGAAATCCAAGATGGCCGCCAAGCGTTCACCCGTTTTCTTAAAGGGACTAAATTCNTGTATGAAAAATCTAAACTGCTTAAGTTAGACGCTTGAAATTTGGCATGTAGGTAGGTAAGTACCTTAGTAAAATCAAAGCTTAGTTATAACAAGGAATTCCAGAAATTCCCACGGGAACGGGAATTCCCTAAATTCCCACGGGAACGGGAATTCGCTGGAAAATCCTTTTGTATGAAAAATCTAAACTGCTTAAGTTAGACGCTTGAAATTTGGTATGTAGGTAGGTAGGTACCTTAGTAAACTTAAAGCTTAGTTACAACAAGGAATTCCTGAAATTCCCACGGGAACGGGAATTCCCGAAATTCCCACGGGAACTGGAATTCGCGGGAAAATCCTTTTGTATGAAAAATCTAAACTGCTTAAGTTAGACGCTTGAAATTTGGTATGTAGGTACCTTAGTAAACTTAAAGCTTAGTTTCAACAAGGAATTCCCGAATTTCCCACGGGTACGGGAATTCCCGAAATTCCCACAGGAACCGGAATTAGCGGGAAAATCCTTTTGTATGAAAAATTTAAACTGCTTTAGTTAGACGCTTGAAATTTGGTATGTAGGTACCTTAGTAAACTTAAAGCTTAGTTACAAGGAATTCCCGAAATTCCCACGGGAACGGGAATTCCCGAAATTCCCACCGCATCGGGAATTCCCGAAAATTCCACGGGAACGGGAATACCCGAAATTCCCACGGAAACGGGAATTAGCGGGAAAATCCTTTTGTATGAAAAATCTAAACTGCTTAAGTTAGACGCTTGAAATTTGGTATGAAGGTACCTTAGTAAACTTAGAATTTAGTTACAAGGAATTCCTGAAATTCCCACGGTAACGGGAATTAGCGGGAAAATCCTTTTGTATGAAAAATCTAAACTGCTTAAGTTAGACGCTTGAAATTTGGTATGTAGGTACCTTAGTAAACTTAAAGCTTAGTTACAAACAAGGAATTCCCGAAATTCCCACGGGAACAGGAATTCTCGAAATTCCCACGGGAACGGGAACTAATACTAACAGTACTAATACTGGAACAATTTTCTTTTCACAACACCGATTTTTTTAGTATTAATTTGGTTTCGATGGAGGCATTATAATCGTAACTCTGAAAATGAATCGATTACTTATATCAAAATAGCTAAGTAATTAAATTGAAAAATCACGATAAAAACTAAATGGCCAAAAGTGAGGTTCTTCGTGCACCACTTTTGGCCATTCATGTGGCCAAAGATGGGAAAATTCATTCATTCTGGCTCCATTAGTGGCCACCTCTCATAAGCCCCTTAATAAACAAATAGCGATAAAATATCATTAGTACCACTTAGACAGTGTATTCTTTATTAAGGTTTAACATAAACATTTAAAAAAATAAGAAGGATTTAGAAAATAATGATTGTTTACTCACCCGCTCGCCTTAGCCTTTTTGCTAAGACTTAAAACAATTAACGCTTCTCAAAAAATAATGACTTGTTGGATTGAAGTGAAGCTTGACACATCAAAGCTGTTAACGCTATCAGTGTTGCTAATATTAGATATTTTTATTCCCGTAAACCATAGAGTAATATATTAGTCTTTGCCTTAGTTATAACGATTTGAAGTTCTAAATGGCCACAAAGGGGTCGGTGGCCACAACCGGGTCACTTGCCCTAAGTGATGATCAGGCCGAAGGTAGAAGCGAACTTCACCCGGAATCCTCAACCACGGAGGAACGAACTGGCTATCTTACCTCTAACCCGGACACAACAATGATGTTAACATAAGTATTTTTTATGGCGACAGACTTATGTAAGATGGTGGTAGCTAGCCAGGCGGACTTGGAACAAGCCTAAATGTAAATTTAATCCCATCAAAAACAATACTTGTCAAAAAAACCAAGAGTATCGATTCGGATATAAACAATCAAATCTTTTCTCTGTAAAATATTAGTGTATTTAGATTTATTTGCAAAAGATTGTATACCTAATCATTTCCTTTTTAACGTCATCTAGAAAGTACCTAGATACATACGGGATTACCCTACGCGGAATTTTTCAGTTTTAGCAATTAAATTAATTTGCATTTTAGATCAAATTACTGAAAAAAAATTGGTATTGTTACTTAGTGACTATTAAATTGTATTCTAGCCGTAGCACTAAATGTTTTTATCAGGAAATGCATAATTTATACGGTTTTTATTTTCACATATAAGCCGTTCATTTCGGAGACAAATTCTAAGAAGTTGTAGAGCCGTCAACAAAGATGCAGTGGAATTTATTTTTTGTTGTGGCGCTATTTGGGGTTTGCGTACTGGGGCAAGGTAAATAAAAAATAGTTATTATAAAAGTTTCATAAAAACATCATTCTTATGATTTTAAACTTTCGCGTTTTAAATGAGTTACATTAAGTAACTCATGGCTCATAATGTATCTCATTAATAAACGTCGCGTTAAGACCCGTGTCTTACTATTTTATCATTCTTGTATTCAAGAAGATTACGTTATCACACGATTGTCGCATTTCTACAAATACACGTCATAATATTAAAGAACAAAAGTTTACTAATGCCCGTTTTCACCATCAATCCCTAATTTTTAAGTGACCCCTTTGAAAACAAAATTTCTGTTTTGTTACCATTGGGGTCACTTAAAAATTAGGAATTGATGGTGAAAACGAGCATAAATATCCCATATTTGTAACAGTTGATCGATTAATTATGGAAGTGAGGTTTTTAAATTTCAACCTTGATACCAAACGGAAAAAATGTATTTGAGAACCAGAGTCATCCCTTTCGGGTCGAACAGGGTTTTTTGCTGTATATATCATCATCTACCTCAGGAAATCAACTAAAGGCTTCCCGCGGTTAATTAGGTCATCAGTCCACCGTATGAAAGGCCTATCCACGCTCCATCTTCTAACTCTTGACAGGTCACTGTCGCTCATACTAGCAACTCACTTAGTGTGAGCACACCTACGCATCTTTGGATAACATTGTGGGATGTAGAAACTTTGTTCCCCAATGATTGATCTTAGGCATCGATCGTGGGCAGGTCTCACTAGGTGGACCGACGATCTGGTGAAGGTCGCGGGAGGTACCTGGATGCAAGCGGCGCAGGACCGGTCTTTGTGGAAATCCTTGGGGGAGGTCTTTGTCCAGCAGTGGACGTCTTTCGGCTGAAACGAACGATTGATCTTAAGATGAATCTCGAAATACCTAGTAATTTTATTTTGTTTTTCAGATAGCTCAAACGGTACCGACGCTGAAAACAGTACCCAAGTCTATAACGAAGAAGATGAGTACACCTACCCATGCGAAGACACAAGCGACATTGTGTGCGTCAGATCTTTCTTCATGAGTTTCTTTCAGTGCATCGCTGCTAGGTTTGACGACCGCCAACCAATATACAGGGTGTCACAAACCGTGCATATACCTATTGCCAACGTCACTATCAACACCCATAAAGACGTCATCACGTTCAATGGGTCAAAAGTTGAAAAATTATAGTAAGTTTCCTTTTAATTTTTTAGTGTTAATTAAAAAGAACTACCGATTTTAAAAATTAACCTGGCCTTTACATCAATGCAAATGATTGTTCTTTTCCCCTAGAATGAAAGTTTAATTCATTTTATTTTCGTTTTATAAGTCTTAGGCTGAGTTGCACCACCTAACTTCGACCGTAACTATAACAATAACCGGCGTATTTTGTATGGAATTTGATAGATTTTTAACGTTTGATAAAGTGTAGTAAGATGGTGCAACTTAGCCTTAAATGCCCGTTTTCACCATCAATCCCTAATTTTTAAGTGACCCCTATGGTGACACTTATCAGGAATTTTGTTTACATAAGGGTTCACTAAAAAATTTGGGTTTGATGGTGAAAACGGGCATAAGTCTTTTTATGCTTGAGTAGCTCACATACTTAGTGTAACACACGAGATCACATTAAGCTAAGCTCTCTGCCATGTTATTATGTCGTATTACCTATTAAGTGCCATTTTGCAAAAAAAAAAAGTACTTTTGTTATCTGGTTTTCAACCCTGATGTTTGCTGTCCGACCGAAAATTTTAATCTATTTTTCAATGAAATATCCACTAATATCCACTTACTCGGTTTTACAGCTACAACCCGGTAACGAGCAGCGTCGTGATGACTGTGTCTTTCAAAACCCTCAAAATAGAAACAGGAACGGCATATTACAGTATCAGTCAAGTTGGAAAGGTGCCGGTGACCGCTGAGGACACTGTCACCGTCAATTACGGTATTTTTCATGCATTTTATTTTACAGCTCTTTAGAAAATGTTTTTGTACTTACTAGCTTTTGCACCCTTCACTCGCGTGACTGTCACGTTTTACGTCAAGTCTGACGTTTTACGTCACTATTTCATAAACCGGGTATAGATGACCCACGCTGAACTGTCCCACCAAACTCAATGACAGGGGGGCGCTACCATCGTTCAACTATATGGTTTCCAACATGGCAAAAATCGGAACCAGCGATCCGGTATTGACGGTGGCGCCCCACTGTCAATGTCATCGATAGGACAGTCCAGTATTTTGGAACTATACCACGCGCGTAACCTACTTCAAAACCGAAATAAACTATCCTATATTTTTTCTTGGATACATTCGGCGTCAAAAAAATTATCTTCTGCCTATTATTTCATTAAAAGATTATCCTCTGTCACAAACATGGTGCTCCACTAATATTGGTGTTATTTGAAAGCCCTTTAAATAAACTTAAAGAAAAACACATTTAATATTTTAATAAACGATTAACAGGTACCATAAATCTTGACTAGAATAAGACAATGTTGCCCTTCACCTCTGGGACCAATTAGACCGAATTTTGTGATTATAAAACCAAATACTAATCTCACGTGTCCTCTTTAGGTGAGTATAGACTAGTAGAGCATTTACGAGTGCATACCTGTAATATAATAGCCGTGTGGTGACGGCAGAGTAGAATACATTTGTCACCAACCCCTACTCTTCCCGCGGGTGTCGTAAGAGGCGACTTAGGGACTACACATCAAACAGAGAATGGGCAGCAGCGCTCTCTGAAAAACATCAATCTACTGCGATTTCCAACCCACCTGCCAAGCGTGGAGATTATGGCAAAACCCTCCACTATAGTGGAGGAGGCTCATAGTCCAGCAGTGGACTGTAAAGGGCTGTTGATGATGACCTGTAATAGAACAACGAGCCGCTCTATGATTATGTTCTAGTGTATCACCCTTTTACGAACCAAACGTCGCCGTACATTTTATACCTGTATTGTACCATTCGTAAGAATCCTACATTACATATACGAGTAAATGCTCGAGATAATACTCTAGTTTATACTCACCTTTTAACAGATGGATAGCGATAAATCCCAATTAGATAATCTATATATAAAAATAAGTCGGGTTTTCCTCCCTGACGCTATAACTCCAGAACGCACGAACCGATTTCCACGGTTTTGCATTCGTTGGAAAGGTCTCGGGCTCCGTGAGGTTTATAGCAAAGAAAATTCGGGAAAAGGGGGTAAAACGGGATCCACGCGTACGAAGTCGCGGGCGGCCGCTAGTTTTATAATAAAAGTGCATAGCAGTTTTATATTAAAAGTTGGCTCAAGCGTGACCTGTCGCTTTAAGAAGCAACTTTGGATCCTTTTAAGTCATATTGGGGTACCAACATAGAAATATAGAGAAATGCCAACTAATGCGCTGAGTTAGAAACTAAGTGTCGCATTAGAAATTCACACAAATAAAGTAATCAAAATAATGTGCTCATTATCCACCGCGATAGTACTCAACGTTCGAATAATCTTTACGATAGTAGGTACCTACTATGCAAACAATGTACAAACTGTTTACATTATGACGCATTGACGTCGCTCTGTCATCATTGCTTTCACGAGCCTAAGATGTTTTTATAGTAAGTATGTCATTGTCACGTGCAATGTGTTCTGTTTTTGGGCATATTGCTGCGACACCGGGCCCGCCCCTTGGCAAATCTCCCTTTAGTTTCTGTGATCTGTGGGTTCAACCTTTTTAGTTTCAACTGGGCTTTCAAAATTAAATGATACCTACCAATATTGACGGGAAGTGGGGGGGATGCATGCTAGGGATGTTATGGATATGTTAGTTTCGGTTATGGATACGGTTACGGATATAGGAATAATATTATACCGGTTTCGGTAACGGTTACGGAATATTTTTTATTCTGGATATCCGAAAGTTTCTGTTACGGTTACGGATATCTGTGCTTTAGAAAGCAATTTGCAATAGTTGTCCAACACGGTTCATTCATGACCGCACACTTTACATCGAATAAAAAGTAATAAAAAAATAAAAATTGATACTAGATGGCATTATAAAGGTAAATCAGGCTGTTGCCTTTACAAAATAATATACCTACTATACAAAAAACAATTTAAACTACCTACATCCGAAACTATCCGAAACTTTTGAATCGGTTACGGATTTTTTTTATTTTGGATATCCGAAAGTTTCGGTTACGGTTACGGATATCCATAACATGCCTGATGCATACGCTTGAAAGTGTTTGTCGCGGCAGGTGGGATTTCTTTGACGCCAAGTGTATCTTTATACTAAATTTCATCAAAATTGATACACAGACAGACAGACATAGTTACTTTCACATTACAACATTATCACGAATTGAGAGAATTCCGGCTTAAGTGTTCTTGATTCTTTGAAAATCATACAAAATGTATTTTGGTACTATATTAGAAAGAAAAATATTTATTTGGTATTAATATTTTGTTTTTATGTAATTTTTCAGAAAATGTTTGGCTTACTGCGGTCATCGCCCTGAGCAACAAACTTGACATGAGGAACGCTAAAGTGTCTGCTTACAACTACAACGCCCGCCCATCTTTCTCTATGGGCCCAGAACTCGGAAATAGCTCAAGTAAGTCTCATTTTTAACCCTTTTTCCGGCGGTGGGAATATAGTTCCCATGGAAAATATTTCCCACCATATTTTGAACTTCATTCTCTTAAGTTCAAAAAACAATGAAAAAGGTATTTTTATGCTCTAACAGGAATATTAGTATTTTTATGTATTGCACTAATTACGAATAGACCCGTTAACTCGTTAAACTCGGAGCCTATTCGATGCAAACGAACTAACAAACAATTTCATTTTTCCTCTATAATATAACTAGCTTTTGCCTGCGGCTTCACCCGCGTGAAATTTAGTTTGTCACATACAACCGCCTCTGTGGTCTAGTGGTTAGACCACCTGCTTCAGACGCAGAGGTCCCGGGTTCGATTCCCAGTGGGGGCAGAATTTTCTGTTCGGTTTGGTTGGTGGTAGGGCTTGTTCCAAGTCCGCCTGGCTAGCTACCACCATCTTATCTAAGTCTGATCATCACTTACCATCAGGTGAGATGCAGGCCAAGAGCTTCCTCGTTGTGGATAAAAAAAAAAAAAAAAAAAAAACATATCGTCATAAATTGTAGCCTTTATAAGGGTACAATAGGCCTGTAGAGTTATAATCAATAATACACCAAAGTTTCATCAAAATCCGTTCAGTAGTTTTTGCGTGAAAGAATAACAAACATCCATCCAGACATCCAAACTTTCGCATTTATAATATTAGTAGGATATTATGAATAAAATGAAAGAACAAAAATCATTTGCACAATATTTAAATTAAAACAGGTATCCTTGCAAGCGCTAAAGTCACTTGTATAAACTATTAAGTATTTTTAAATATTTGCGAAGTTACGAAACATTACAGATTACAGACGACAGCACATCTGCCTGTACATTTTCCTTGCAAATTCGCAATTAGATAAGACGCACGTTACAGCTCGTTAGCAATACTTTTTACGTTGTATCGGTCAGCTCAACGATGCGGTGGCGATGGCGATCACTGTGCGTGCATAGTTCGCCACGACCAATGACAGGACGCGTTGATGTGAACTCGCTACAAAATCATACACGACATCTGATCGCCATCGCGCACGCAGGCTGCACGCGTTTATTTGGCCGAACCTTAGGGCCCTCGCCCACGGCGACTTTTTGTAGCGATGCAGTCGCGCTGCTGTAGCGCGTTGGCATCACTTCTGTAGTATGTTGCAAATGCGACTTATAGCGCTTTCACATTTAAAGCCTGGTCCGTGAGCACGTAGAATCCCGTCCCATGACCCCAAGCTACCCATCCCTATCGCTCGCGCGTAATTATGTTGCTGTCGCGACTGTGCGACGGGCGCCCGCAGTGAGTGTGCGAGCAACATAATTACGCGCGAGCGATAGGGATGGGTAGCTAGGGGTCATTGGACGGGATTCTACGTGCTCACGGACCAGGCTTTAGGCGATTTAGAGGCGCGACAAACGCGCAACAGATGCGCTGCCGATAATTTCATATTATATGACAGCGGATGCATGCCTTCACATTATAAAAACGCCGCTGCCGCGCTGCAGTCGCGCTACTAAACGCCCTAATGTGAAAGCGCTCTTAACCCTTAAGTCATTAGTTCCCAAAGTAAGACCTTTAAAGAGAACGCGGGCCATCTGTGTTCTTAAGTATAAAAAACCTGCAACCGCTGAGAGAATGCATGCCAGACTACTCGATACGACCAATAATCTTGACTAGAGGAGGGGGGCGCGGAATTTTTTGTATGGTCGAAAGAGGGCGCGTCTTAAATAAGTTTGGGAACCAATGCCTTAAGTAGTCGCCTGAGACCGCGGTAACAATTGATTTTAATTGTCTCGATCCGATGGTACTTGAAGGGTTACGGTTAATTGTGAATTTTAATTACAGATCCCGTAGTTCAAAGTGCGATTCAAGCCATACATGACAATCTACCAACGGCGGTCCAGGAGATATTCCTCACAGAAGCCTACAGTTACTTCATAGCATACATGCAAAGCCACATATGCTATTACGGAATCCTGCTCTCTGGATAAAATCCTCAAGAGAACAAAAAGACGACTTCTATTTTAACATCGAAAATTAACGCATAATAAAAGGAATCGAAGATTTAATTCTGATTATTTATCAAAGCATTATGGAAAATTTATATTGTGGAAAACTGCTATAAATTGTTATTAATAAACTGTATTTTCAAACCAAACTTTTTAGTCCGATCATTTTAGCATAAAAAGAGATTGCAGATGATAATCTGAAATTTTTAAAGATCTTTATGTTGGCGTTCTGAAAGTTGTCTCAAAAGTCACATAATCTTGTGTCTACGTGCGTCCTAAGTTATTCAAGGTAAAATGCAGAAAAAGCTTTTTAATATGACTAGACTACATTCCTGCTCCAATCATCAGATCAGAACCTGGATAACATATATTCATATTAAAGGTAACAGTGTACCTATTTGGGTTAGGGCTAGCAATAATTTAAGGCGATATTATTATGTCAATTTTATCGATAAAAATGCCCCCAAAAACGTGCTCTTTACACGTCACATACATTTTTGAATAAAGAATAAAGTAAAATCCGTTTTAGTGAGTACCTACGTTCTAAAAGGAACTCTCATGCAGAATTTTAGACTCCTAGCACTTGTAGTTTCTGAGATTTCGTGATGAGTGAATGAGTCCATCAATCAGTGACCTTTTGCTTATACCTAGTTAAAGAAAGATATTTCGGGCGGTCACTGGTATAGTTTTAAAATTTTAATCAATCAAATGGCATGCCCAATCCTCATACAATATGGATGTATTCAATTGCGTCCCAGAGTCGGCTTTGTATCAATCACTGTTGTAATCATAGATAATGCCTGTGCCGGCGATAATCCCAAGTAATCAAGGTGAATAGCATGGCAATGAGACATGTGTATAATTAGATCTCACAGATGTATAAAGTTTATACTTCCTAAACAATACATCATCAGTCAGGTCAGTCTCCACACAAAACGATTCTCTTCAATGAGAGAAATACATAGATCTGAGTGCGAGTTTACATCTTACATCAAAATGTATGAAAATTTTAGTTTTTTTTTTATCAACAACTAGGAAGCTCTTGGCCAGTATCTCACCTGATGGTAAGTGATGATCAGGCCGAAGGTGGAAGCGAGCTTCACCCGGAATCCTTAAATACAGAGGAACTGGCTATCTTACCTCTAAATGCCGAAACACAACAATGCTGTTAACATTGTTGTTATGGCGACAGACTTAGGTAAGATGGTGGTAGCTAGCCAGGCGGACTTGGAACAAGCCCTACCACCAAACAAACCGAACAGAAAATTCTGCCCCCACTGGGAATCGAACCCGGGACCTCTGCGTCTGAAGCAGGTGGTCTAACCACTAGACCACAGAGGCGGTAAGTTAAGTAATTTTGAACGTTTCCCGTTAGCGGCGCTGTACAATCTTTTTGATTGATAAATACTCACACTGAGCCTTTTGGTCTTTTTTATGCAGAAGTAGGTAGATATTTGACCGTGATCGCACCTGATGTTGTGTGAGATGCCCTGTAAGTTCCTATTCAATCTATGATCCGAAGAACGCGGGTTCGAACCCCGCCGTCCCTCTACTATTGTGGTGAACACGCTCGTAACATAAGCATATTTAGCTTACCACGAGGGGTTACCGGGATTAATAGTAATGAATATGAATACTTCCCTTGAAAAGTCCCGTATTATAGTATTCGGGAAAGACAGCATCATGCAGAAGCGAATTCCAGTCACTAACTGTCTGTTAGAATTATAAAAGTGTGAGCGAAATGCTTAGGTGCAGGTGGAATGTCGACAATGTATCTGGTTCCCTGCGCCTGGTTCCCTGGTGATGGAAGGGGGCTGGTGGTCTATACTCTACAGGGTGGAATTTTGTAATGCCACCTGGAGGGAAAGTACTCTTAATATTATTGATAGAAGTTTTTTCTCAAAGAAAACATTCCTTTATTTTTGAAAAGAAATAAAACTGCATTCAAAGGATTCCAAAAATTTGCTTGCCACACCCGAGAATTGAACCAACTAAAATGTGTTAAAAATTACACCCTGTATTTTTATTACATCGATCGTTAGGGTCAAGTATAAAGATGAAATCTCTCTAACAAACTTGATAAATCAAATGAAAGGAAAACCATTAAATCTTAAATTATCTTAATTATATTACAGAAAATTGCATGGTATGGTAGTGAATTTTCGAAAAATTTTCGAAAATCTTTGAATCCAGTTCCCTTTCTTTTCAAAAATAAAGGAATGTTTTTTTTCAGTAAAATTTTCTATCTGCAGTATTAAGAGTACTTTCCCTCCAGGTGGCATTACAAAATTCCACCCTGTATACCAGTGATGGCCAACTTGATTAGACATAAGATCTACTGTTTACTAACGAAACCCTGAGCGATCTATCACTTACATACTTCTTGATATCTTAAGTGAAACAGCATAGTTTAGTACACAATCATGTAGTATTTTTTGCCTTGCCACGATCAACTGGACTAATTGTCACGATCGACCGGTTGGCCACCCCTATTCTATACGCTGGCCAGACGGTTTGGTAAGGCCTGATGTTATGCCATATTTCTCCATTAGTCAACTCTTACAACATCCGAGTCAAGGTTCTATTCTACTCTACTGGAACTACAGAGCTAATTTACGGCATTGCCAATTTTACCTTATAAGCACCTAAGTCATAGGGATGACAACTCCATAGAGCGACAGATCGTTCAAGAAAAAGTTGAATGTCACCTCCGTCATGAGTTGGACTGACTAAGTAAAATTGGCAAATCAGCAGTCTGCCAACAGGTAGAGATGGCGGGAGATCATGCGGAGAGCTGTATCGGCCTCTACAACCGACGTGAATGCTTCAACGTGACCACGACCGCTCTGCCAAGAGCGAACGACTAAGATGAAAGAAGTTATATAGGGTCTATAAATTTATTTGTGTGTGCTTTTATTACAACACCTGTATACTATAAATGCAAAATAATCAAAAAACCCAACTGCGTAAAAATTACCTAAAAGATAAAAACAAGCCTCACAGTGTTCACAAATGCAGTCGGAGTCATCAATGACTAATATTTTGTTGGTGATATGTAATTTGATGCCTCCGACTGCATTTGTGAACACTGTGAGGCTTGGTTTTATCTTTTTAGTTCATTTTAACGCAGTTGGGTTTTTTGTTTATTCAATAATAATTTTATTTTAATCTTTTTAGTTAAACACTCGATAGATTTTGAATTTTTTTGAATACATTATGGCGCCTAAAAAAAAGACATTTTGATTTTTTTTTTATTTTAATATAGCCAGTGTCTTTCTCACGATTAAGAAGAATCTAACGACCCCTCTCACGCTAAAATCGGTCAAGCCGTTTAGGCTGTAGGCCGTGCCAAATAAATATACATACATACCCACATACATACACTCGAAAAACATAACCCTCCCTCTGGCGCAGTCGGGTAAAAATCATGAAATTGAAATAAATTGTCGCAATCTTGGAACTTTTATAAAGAGCGAATGACTTTTTTGCTTGGAGTTTTAAAGATCGTGCTATTACTTGGGGAATGGCTCACTTTCAGCAGTACGCTGCCATTGTCTGAAACGTTGATTAAATTAACATTACAGAAAGGTATTTTTAAATAATTTGTATTCTAAAACGTATACAGACACCACGTCACAGCAATAAGCCCGTAACCATAGACGCGTATGAAAAATTCGAGAATGAATTCAAAAAGCTGCCTTTATTCGTAACTAACAGGCTCAACGAACTTCATATCTCCAACACTGTCCATTTAATGTCGCCTATTATATAGTGAGACGTGTCAATAATCGGGGAAAATGGTAGAGTCAATATTTTATTGTTAATTTCCTTAAATTTCTTTTCCCGTGATTTTAGTTTATTTAATAGCGATTCTACTATTAGAGATGGATATAAAAATGTAGTGCCATAAAAGTATAACGAAACTTTGTTTTAAAACATAGACAATTATAGTAAGTACCTTTTGGATAAAAATTACTAGAATTCTGGAATGAGCTATTTGATTTTATTGAGTCTATGCAACTATTTTCGTTGTTAAATTCTCAAGGAAGTAACTAAATCCGCGTCGTAAGAAACCAACTAATATTCGAAGCCGTTTGCATAAAGTGGGTTTGTATTCTAATTTCGGCAAATTTTTCAAAATTAAAATCGACCCTTTGATTCTTAAACAATCAGAGCCCCAATTAAAGTGCCGGCATGAAAGAAATCAAGAAACTTTTTAACTTTGGCATTTGTTAAGAGGTAAGAACAAAAAGTTTTTAATACAATCGGTTAATTTGGAAGTGTTAAGCTGTGAAGTTGAGAAGTTGTTGGACTGGGACGTCTCGAGTTGTCAAGTTTTACACGGTTAAGAGTTCTGGAATTTGCGCTTTGGGTTTGATTTTATGATTTTACATCGTTAAAATAGGAAAGTTTAATGACAAATAGTAACAAGTGATAGAAGACAATATTCGCAGCACTTGCCAAATGTTGGTCTCGAAGCGCTGGTAGAGTAAAAAGAATATGAGACATGTAGAAGCTCCTTAATAGCATAATATTTGACGATTTGTAAGTATAATAATATTTAAATAGTCAATCAAATAAAGAAATTTTGACTTTGAAATCAATATTTTAGCACTATTTTACTGCTCTTAACGGTTAATATAAAGAGTACATAAGTTAAAAGTGAACGAACATTAGTAAATTACAGTTGTTTATACTTAAATACACTTATTTTACCTAAAATAATATAAATAGGAAGGTTATTAGCGATAACCTTCGTTATCATACTTATTTCAATAGAAATAATAATTATTATATTGATATTACTGATTTATTGGGAATGACATTCAGATTAAATTATTACTAGCGACCTAAGCAGGGGCGGGTCGCTAGTAATAATGTATTAAACTTAAAAACCTTCCTCTTGAATCACTCTATCTATTAAAACCGCATCAAAACCCGTTGCGTAGTTTTAAAGATCTAAGCATACATAGAGACAGACAAACAGAAAAGCGAC